CTCCCAACATAACATATACATGTATTTTCAAACTAGTTTTCAGTGATATGGATTTTATTTGGTGATTTGACATAGTATGTAATGAAAAATGCATCATTCTTCAGCAGTTTACATAGACATCATTGTAACAAATTTGTTATTTATTTTAGTTCAAACAGAAGTAATGAGACCATGGAAAACTTACATTTCAGTATGCTTTGCTATTTGTTAAAAAAGTCTGGTGAGACATTTCAAAGCAATTTTTTCAAACTACTGGAAACAATTACATTATGCAGTACATTATTAACCTGCAGTTGTTTTCCTAAAAGTAAAAATGCATTAAAAATTAATTTACACATTGCATATTTAGTCTATATTTACAAGACTACACGCATCATGCATATTTTGCATATATTTAGGGACTACATTTATATAAAGTCTACAATCATACATGTATGTTAAGTGTATTCTTAAAACTAGTGAATAACTTGTAAGCCTTGACTCATCAAATAAGTGCAGTTATCAGAAACATTATGAAAGACTTATTGCTAGTGATTTACACCCATCATATAGAAACATACTGGATCATATACAACTAACTCAGAGAAGGAGACAGAATTTAATTTCAGATGCAGTAATCTCTGATCTCAGTTACTTTGCTTGACAACATGGAAGCTCTAAAGGGTTGAACTAAAAAAGGCTGGTTCGGTTCTTCTATTTTCGGGTATAAAATGTTCAAACAGATATAATTTTAAGAGATTTCTACAGAACACATATTGTCATCTTTTTGTTGGCATTTTTTTTAAGATCTAGCACACAGTCCAGTTTTGCTATCTACCATGCGAAGGTACATGTTAGACGTTTTCACTGTTTTCAAAATATTTCAGAGAGATAGAGAAGGAGATAAAATTCAGTGATAGTTTTAAGCCCCTCATCAATTAATGAACATAGGTTACTAGGATCATAATACATTTCCTAGACTTATGAACTCCTCCTTACTTCCAAATTCTGGCTAGATGAGAAGTCTGTTGCAGTCATGGATCATTGCTTAAATTCTCTCATAAAACATATTTACTCTCCTTTCCCCACTGAGATGATATTCACATTTGACATTCTTGAAACTGAGTTGTTTGATGTGAACATACACCAATACTTATCTACATGAAGAAAATAATCTAGATTTAATTTGTGACAGAACAAGAAGTACAAGGGAATAAACTTTAGCTATTCCTTTAAGAACTCAGAAAAGAGAGGGAGATTATTCCCTAATTCAACACAAAGCAATAAAGAAACAAATTAGCAAGCACAGTAGCCTGGGAACAATAAATACGTCCACTGAGTTAGACACAGTGCATATGTGGCCGATAATTTAACACCATGAAAGGGGATTACAAATCTGCAGTGGTGCAGTGAAACACTAAATTCCAAAAAGATTTAGTGCAAGCAACACAAGGTAGCGTTAAACAGCTGACAAAAGATAACAAGGAAAAAGCACAGTGTCAGAGATTTCATAATACTAAAAGACATAAGGCCATCTAAACATGTAGACATTGCATCAGACTTAGTGTTGGCTTAATCTCTACCCTTTCAAGCAGCAGCTTGGCTGGCAGCTAGAAAAAAAATTCATTAAGGACAGGCTATCTCAAAAAATAAAAAGGCTTTGGAGTAAGCTTTGACAATTTGAAAAATCAATTCATGTGGCTAGATTCATACTTTAAAGAAATATAAATCCCTAACCTAATCTATTACAAAGTAGGATTAGAAATAAATCAAGTGGTTTTGATAGTTTCCTGAACTACTTTAATGCTGATCTCTGGTGAAGAGTTGTATTATTGTGAATCTCACACAGATTAATATTTTATACTTCCAGGAGTAGCATTTCAGGCTAGGACTGAGACAAATAGCCTGGAAATGAAATCATAAGATGTCCTAAAAGTATTTTCTGTTGCTAACCATGTTTCATTAACTGCTTCTGGTCTTTTTCCTTTAAAATGACAAATCTGAAAGACTAGAGTTTTCTATTTTATCATGAGAGGAGAAAAAGGAAACAACAATTAAAACTCATCTGATGAGTCAGAAAACACACACAGTATTGACATTTAGCACATATTGATTCAACAAATATTTACCAAATAACATTTCAAAATAATCATGCTGATGAAAGGGCACATACATACATGTTCCATCAAGTTATAATACTGAGTGAATTTTCTTAAGTATTTCAAATTACAAATTTCTAAATTCCAAAATGTTCTCTTACCTACCTAGGCTTTCTCAATAAAAACCAAACAAAACCCCAGACTTCCAGACTATAACATAGGAGCAATAAAGCCTCATAAGAACAAAGTTATTTAAATGGCATTATCTGCTATTTGTCTTATTCTATATTGCCATTTTTCCCCCACTGAGTGCTAATAAGTGCTTGCTGTTGAAGAGGTTTACATTTAACATCTGTCAGTTGTATCCAGAAGTAGCACCTACAGGGATCTGTCTAATAGATTGCAATTCTCCTCTGTAGCACCAGCAAATCTGTCTCACATCATTTACATACAGATAGTTATAGGCATTCATCATTTCATTATGCTGACTGCCTCACTATTCTAATGTATAATGTCTCTTTAATGAGCCTCAAAAAATACAATATTCCTTGATTTATGACTGCTTAACTGAAAAATTATACAGATTGACAAAAACTCATCATAAAGCTTTTTTGTGTTCCCACTACCTTGCACTTTAAATTTAACAATTACTCTCAAGTTAATCTCATGATTTGCTTCTTTGACAAAAGAAATTATCAAATTTTACCACACTAGGCTTCACAGTCACTGCTGTTTTAATAAATATACTTTCACTTCCATGAGAAAGCAGTATAGAATTCGAAAAATTAAAATTGATCAGTTTTTGTCCAAGAAATACAATGTATTGGGCAAACTATTTCAATATTATTATATGCCAATTATGGTACACTTCCTAAATTATCATGTGGAATGCTGTTGTACTAGTCATGCAAGAGTGACTCATAAATGAGCCAATTTACATGTTCAAGTAAATTGAACTATGGTTTATTGTATGAACTTCAATTATTTTATACACAAATGCTTAGCACTGAGAAACAACTCTGTCATTAAAAGCACACCGAAATAATACAAACATACCTAAAACACCAAACAGAAATCTGAGAACACGAGGGAAACACTTCATTCATTTGACTAGACCCAGGCATTTCAGTTCTTTCAACTGCATTTCCCCATGTTTATGGATATGTCGGAATTCCTCCGATTTTGAATATCCAAGCTGAAAAGGTTTACAAACTGCTCATGGTGTCCCTTAGAAGCACAAATTTCCACAAAGTATGAGAAACCTTATGATACTTTGTTTCTGACATATCTACAACTTACAGCTGAATGTTTTTAGCATGTGAGAAAGTGTTGAGCTCTGACAGAAGTTTCTCCCATAAAAGAGCTGCAATTTTTTACTCTCTCATCTACTACAGTTTAAGCTTACCCTATAACCAGACAGTTTGCAACTCCCTCTCTCCTCTGCTCAGCCTTTCTTTTCCACAGAAGTTTCAGAAACACCACAGCGAGACCCTTCCCTTATAAATGCTGCTCCTTTCAGAGCGTTCAAACGTAATGAGTGCAGATAAACAAATGAGCACTAATATAACCTTGCACTGCCTTATCTCACAGCATCATTTCCTATTTCCAAATCATGAAACCAGGCAACAAAGGCTATCCATTCAATGCAGAAGAGATGTACAGAGATTTAAGCAACAGATGGCAAGCAACATTCCCTAGATCCCTGCAAAAAAGTCAACTTTAAGTGAAAAATCAAACCAAAAAATACAATACTAGTGAATATTCAAGAGCTGTTTCAGTAGATGCAAATATGTTATGATATGACAGAAAATAAAGTGCAAAAATGACACTGACATGTTTGACAATGACAAGTTAAATGCTCAGTACAGTAAAAATTTTTATTTCATCATTTTGAATCCCTATTTTAGTTCCTTTGCACTGAATATTCTAGTTAATATTAACATCTGACTTTCAGAGTCAAACTTCTAAAGAAGTTTGGTATATTATAGGAATACAGGTATGTCATTCCCTAATTAGCACCATGTGTTTTTATCATCTAGGAAAATTCACATATCCACACATTTCAACAATATAAAATGTCAGTCTATCATATAGGCCAACACAACATTTTTTAGAATTTTTTAAAATTAATAAATCACAGTAATTCCAAAATGTTATTGCTTTGCATGTGGAAGTTCTAACTCTGAATCCAGAAAACTAGTATGTCAATCCAAATACCTGCTGTCAATAGAAGGCCTTAATTTATAAACCCAAATGCTTCTGTAATTCAAAATATCTCAAAATATCCATTCCTTCCCATAACAATAAAGAGATTTATATCTCAGCTTGTAGTAGTGATAAAATCCAATTTAAGAAATATTCAATATTTACTAGTCCCAAATATCTTTAGACTGTCACTCTGACCATCTCAGAACTATATTTCCGTGTCCCTTGACAATAACTAAGAGGCACAGAGCCAAGGGCAGCCATGGACAATGTTTATGCTGTCTGTTAGTGTTCATATTGTGCATCTCTAGCTGGAAGAGACTATGACTACTTGTTATCTTAGTGACACAGAAAGAAGCTGATAAGAACAAATACAGATATCCCTATAATCCCTTCATGTTACAATTCTATTTCCTTGCTTGTCTTCTATACAAATTCATTATTTCATCTCCTACAGTATACAGAGTTACTATTTCCAAAAGCTATGTAATAATGCCTGTGACTCATGATTTTCCTTCCTCAACCTGGCTTTCCGAAAAGGCAGTGGAGGAACATCAGAACAATCTTTAAGCCTTCACATTGTTCTTTCCTATGTGTGCATATAAATATTTGCAACTGTTTCTCCGGCAGAATACTACATTAGCCATTTTCCCTGTAGAGTACTGAATTACACAGAAACCCAACAAAATTCTGTTTCCATTAACTGAGCGTACTTACAGGAAGGTGGTGTGAAAGGATTCAATACTTCAGTCACTGTAGTCTGCACATCAGAAGAAAATCCAGATTGTTTTCTGTTCCTGTGACCAATTTTATATCTTTCTGTAGCTACACCTAGGAAATAACCAGTACAGAGTCAGTACAACTAAATACAGAAAATAACATAAACCAAATTATCAGAAATGAAAAAATGAGAATATGTCCAATAATAATTTATGGCAAATTCCATACGATTATTCATCAATACGGCATTATAGAAGACAAAAGTTAAAATTTTATCTCCATTTAATTGTGCAGTACCCAAGTGATTCCAGAGTTCTACAATCTCAAGACTGCCAAGTAGAATCAAATAGATGTCATCATTACACCTAAACAGCCATCTGGTAGCCTGAGAGGAGAAGCATAATGACCACAGAGGGAACTGGTCCAGCCGCCCAGAACAGCACAACCGTGGTTCCATTCAGCATGTAGAACAAATGGAATATAGAGAATATACGAAGTAAACAGACACAGTTATTTAACAGCAGAATTAATTAATAGTTTTTGACTTTCAGTAGAAGCAGAAGAAGCAGCTTCTCTTCCTTCTGATTCTTATTTACATAGTTGGCAGAATTTTACAGAAAGCAGAAGAGCCAGGAATAAGGCATTAAAGATGGCCTGTTTTGGTATTTCTTAAAGGGAGTGGGATTCAGAGGTATCTTCACATCCAGACCAATACTGACAAGGGCTGGTACTGCTCCCTTTGAGTAGCTGAAGTCAAAGCTGAATCACCCTCCAAACAAAAAAATTCTACCCCAGGAGATAACCATTCTTACTTATCTTTTACATCTAGCCTTTGCTGCAAATTAATCCCTCTCTCTTCTTGTCATATCTAAATCAGTTTATGCTGATCTCCTTTTTCAAAAATTTTATATATTGCAACCCCCATTATTCCCATTTTTTACGCTGAATAAACTTGATTCAGTCTTTTTTTGATGCCTTGAATAGTTAATTTAATGAATTATCAATTACCAGATACATTTTGTTTAGACAATTTGAGTCTCCAGGTTATTCGACTGGATCCTTATACATAATCCTCCTAAAGATCTTTAGAGACCAAGTGGATCTTGTTTCAGCAGTTTCTATCCCTTGTGCCTTTGCCACAGACCATCAATCCAGTAAACAGAAACGTTTGTCATGGCTCCAATTCATAAAGGGTGAGAGAGGAATGAAGTGTTTTCATATTTGTCAAAAGATGTCTGCTAGGCATTTTAGCACATCTTGAGTTCTGCTACTGCTAAACGGAAGGAAAACACTTGTGTAAGAAAGCAAAAAATCTGGAACTGGCCACACATGTAACAGTATGGCATGGTAAATATGCTGTCCCCATATTCTTCCCTGCAGCACTAGAGGGAATTCCCCATCTTCCATTTGCGCTGTTAATTATTCCTACTTAGTGCTTCTGCTGGTTCTCACCAAACTGAATGTCTATTATTTTCTAGTATTTCTACAATTTATTTGGATTATTTTAAGCCTGAGACAGCAGCAATAATAGCATCTACTCTATTTCCAAAACTACCAACAATACCATAGAATAATATTATGCACAGTACAGAATTTTAGAGTTACACTCCTCCCCCACAACCCCAGTCACTGTGGAAAAGAGTGACTGCAACTAAATATTACATCTTTTTTAACTCAAAAAAACTTGAATAATACTTTTAGTCTAATCTTATCTAGATCACAGTTCCCTAACTTGCTTAAAAGAATGCCATGTATAATTATCCAAACTGCAGTTTACTAAATTAAAGTAATATCTCATAACCCTTAAGGCTTGCTGCAGTTTTCAAAGAGACAAAATAGGACTGACGTATTCCTGAGAAATCTATGCTTTTCAATCTCAGTATCTCTTGCAGATGTGTAGAAAGAACAGTTTGATAATTTCAGGTCCCACAGGGAAATTCAGGAAAGACAATTATGCACAATTCTTTGGATATTTCTTCAGGTCTTACTTTCAGTCCTTTTCTGAGCTTTTGAAATTTCACCATCTTTAAGTTCTCAAATGCAATGCTACTACACATCATGGAAAGACTTGTTAATTCCTTTATGCATATCTTATGGCTTTATAAATCAAATAATCTTTGCACCTAAGACCCAAATAAACCAGTTATTTGTTTCTAGTTGAGCTTAACTCACAGTGAGATAATTTGTATTTAGAGAGAAGTCTGTCCTTTTTTTGTAATTAATTTTTTATATTTACTAAAATCATTGGATTCTAACATCACCCATCTGAGATTTCAATGCTGACCCCTGAATCTTCCACTGCTTTCTATACAGAATCAACTAGGTTGGAAAAGACACTTCTTACCTCATACAGAGGCTAACAGAATCTGAGATAGTTTATATCTAATTTTTAAAGTTTTACATAATTGTATGTAGATTTGTCCCACCAGCTCCTTTGATATTTAATTGAAGATTTCTTTTAAAAGCATTTTAGTTGTTTAGCTTGCACTAATTTTCACACACAGAAGGGATTTTCCAAATTTATGAGTACGTTTAAAAATGAAAATGCAATCTGTTATGTTTTTAAATACAATACATTTTCAAAATGGATATTTGTGTTTTGGGACATCTATATTAGATTGCTGGGTGAAGCCCTTTAAACGGAGAAGTACAGAAAGTATTTTAATTACAGGAAAGAACACAGAAGACAAAACCAGATAAATCTCAGACCACTCAAACCAAGTGTCTCATCTGCCCAGGTTCGCCTGTGCCAGCTCACAGGAAAGGTAATGCAGGGAGCTCTCAGTTAACCACATGGGTACATGTGCGCATAACGACCTCCACAGCATAGTCTATTCCTCAGCTGATTTTCCTAACAAGCTGAACTTAATAGCAAGTTATCAGGTGTTCCTTTATGATGCCACATAAACTGGTGGAAGGTGCTCTTCCTCTTCAATAAATTAATGAACTACACGTTCACTACAGCAAATGATTTTATATGCCTTTGTTGCCCCTATTTTTCAGCTTCTCTCCTACTCCAGCTGAGTTGCACCCATCTTCTTCTCAACACTTCATCCTTTCTGATATATAAGGTTAATCCCCTTTCTTTAATATTAGGATGGAAATTAGGGATGACAACTTTCCACAAGCCATAGTGGGCATCATATACTTCTGGAGGACTATCAACAAAAAATACAGTCCACTGTATAACAAAAGTTTAAAACAGGACAGTAAGTCTAAAACAAATGTGCTGCTTGCACAAAGCCTTGGGATAGTTGTCCCTTTGGCATATGGAAGCAATGAGAAATATCAGCTATCCCTGGCAGGAAGACTATGTTAACATCTGTATCTCATTTTGAGCACTAGATTAATTTTTTTCATAAGACTTTCTCTGGCTTCTCAGCTCTGTAATATCCCACCCTTAACATATAAAATGCCCCTAAGAAAAGCAGTTCAGGCCTGTAATTCTACTACTTCCATGATCATAGCATCCCAGATAAGGAATATCTATCAAATGTGTCAAAACATTATCTGTTCATTCCAGTCTCCCTTTTTGCCTTATTTTTCTTATCTTCCAGCAGCACATTCCTTGGCTTCTACTCAACATCACTCACAAAGTTCATAGATAAACAAATCAAACAAATAAATAAAACAAATAAATAAAACCTAAAAAAAATAAAATAAAAATAAATACCAACCCCAAACATACCCTCACGCACTCCTTTTCCAAGACTGCAGTTGTTTAAACTCTGTTATTTCCTTTTCCATGACAAAACACAACATGCCTAGAAAACCTTACAATATTCTGAAAGCCTTGCAGTGGGAAAGGGAGGTAGAGGAGGGCAGGGCAAGGTGTGACCCTCGGTGGGCACAGCAGGGTGAGGCCACAGGGAGCAGCTGCACACCAGGGGCAGGGAGGCAGCACCGGAGGTGGCTGCCATTGCCTCATGGGACAGCAAGTCTGGAGACAAGCCATATACAAAGAGCAGCGGTATTCCAGGCCTTTTTTCCATTGGTAAGGCTTCTCCTCAAGCCTCCAAGATCCCTAAGCTTCTGAAGAGATTCTCCAGACATGAAGCAGCACCTGCAGGGGATGAAAGAGGAGTGATCACTTACTTAACCCGCTTAGACTTAAGTATGTTCACAGCCCTGGTGCACAGCATCCCCAGAGGTATTCATGGAGCTGGCAGGTGTCTCTGTGAGACTGCCTGTCCTTTTTGAAATGTTTCTGATGACTTGAAGGCAGCTGCTGTCATGCTCCTCTTTACGACAAGCAAAAGGCAAGATCCAAGGAACTACAGGCTGGTCAGCCTTAACTGTGTTCACAGAAAAGTTGTGGACCAGGTATTTGTAGAAGCCGTTTCTTCTTGCCCGAGCAGATCATGCCTGAGCAACCTCAGCGCCCTATAAACTATGCACTATTAAATATTTAAAATAGATGGAAAGCTAAATTCCTTTGCAAATAGATATTGCTATCTGAAATGGACACACACAGGTTATGGATCGCAGTGCACAAAAAGCAGATGTCAAATCTGAGAAACTGGGTCATTTAAAATTTGAGAGGAGTTGCTACTTATTTTAGCAAAATGCTAGAAAAATTAAATTTGCATAATTTCTTAGAAACGCCTACTTTGATGACTTCTTACAATTTTTAATTTTTTTCCATGAAGATAATTAGGGAAACCTCCAGACACATTTCATTTGGTTAAGATGTATCATTTATGGAGTAATACATTTTCAGAGTTTTGTAAAATTGTATTTATTGTTGCTATCCTTTTTTTTCCCTTTTAAAATATTAAAGACATTATTTCCTTTTCTAACAGCTTATTTGTACAGTGTAAGTTATAGAAAACATGGCATCTCTAGAAAAATTATGTCCAATAACTGGTAAAAGTATGAAGCTCACTTCCAATAGATCTATGAGAAAATGCTGTGAAGCAGCCTGAACCCGAAAAAAATTGGGTTTTCACCTTTCATCTCAAGGCGAAAATACATTCACCTTAATTGCTGAAAATATCAAATATTCTATTTATGAAAAACCTAATCATAATTCTTTTACTACTGCACAGCTAAACTTCACATTTTCTGAATTCTTCATATGTATATGTGGTCACTGGAAGCCCACATACCTC